GGGGAGAAGGGTGCAACAATGAATGAATGGAATCCCAAAATCTCTGTAGATGTTCATTGAAATGAAAAATAAACAACCTAAATTTAAAAAAAAAAAGAGCAGCCTATTAACAACTGGCTTCTGATTTCTTCTGATGATGCTGGGATGTTTACACAGTATAGTCATGTATGTTGTTTATGTGCTGTCTAACTGGAACCAACTCATACATGACCCTCCAGCAGGTTACCCGTTTTGGAAGGGTATAGGCAATAATATATCAAATTTAAAATGCTTGTTTTTGTAATTTCTAGAAATATACTCAATAGATATTCACACATAGGCAAACATGAACAGCATCCTCATTAGAACATTGTAGTCAGGTCATTTTTCCTCCTTAGAGAATATTATACAGCTATTAGGAATGAGGTAGATTTATTATGTTGATGACAGCCATGATGATGGTGGTGGCTGAGGTTTTATTAAATCTGTATTATATGGCAGCTCCTGTGTCATTCATTTGACATGTTTTATCAAGTTGTTCTTATAGCAACTCTGTGGCAGGAACTTTCTTAACGTTGTTTTATAGATGAGAAAACTGAGGCACAAAGATTAAATAACTTGCCTCAAGTAAGAGCAGACCTAGTAGTCAAATCCAGGCAGTCTGACACTTTTAACCACTATACTGTTCATCCTCCTTTCTCCTGATTGAGAAAGAAGGTCAAGATATCTGTAAATGAAAACGTGATTCACAGAATGTATAATATGCTGTCATTTGTGTTTTTAATTTCTTAAAAAATAACAGCTCACTGCAACCCCGAAGTCACATGGTTCGAATCCACCAGATGCTCTGCTGGAGGAGAGGAAATCTCTTGTGCCAGTCTAATCCATATTGACAGTGCACAACTGGAGAAGAGAATAAATAAACAAAAAAAAACCCTAAACCCCAGCTCACACTGCAAAGATATGGAAGAACATAGATGTGATTTTATCTAACACAGAGTTAGTAGATAGATAGCTTTTTCACTTTATTTTTTTTCTCTGATACATCTTTTAAATAATAAAGCACAAAGCCAAACATACTACCTGGGAGTTGGTTCTGACTTACAGCAACCCTCTATTTGGTTTCTATTAAATCATAACAGAAGCAGATTTCCTATCTTTCTCCCTCAGTGCCTGACTGGTGGATTTGAATCACTGATGATGCCACCACGGCTTTCTGTTTTAAATTCTAAAACCAAAAACCAAACCCACTGCTTTCAACTTGGTCCTGATTCATAGAAACCTTCCCTCCGATAGGTTTCCCAGGCTGCACATCTTTATAGGAGGAGAATCCTCATCTTTCTCCCACAAAACAGCTGGGATATTGCAACCACTGGCCTTTAGGTTAGCAGCCAAATATGTAATGTACTGCAAGACTAGAGCTTCTTGTTTTAAAAAAAATAACACAAAGCTCACTGCTGTGGAGTCAGAACCAACTCATAGCTGAATCTCCAGCAGCTTTTCAGGAGGCTGTAAACCACATGGGAGGAGATTACCTGCCCATCTTTCTTCCAAGGAACCACTGGTGGTTTCAGACAAGAAAGGCATTGTGGCTTGTAACACAACACCCTACTAACTATTTCACCAGAGCACTTTAAATAATTGTTGTTATTACTAGGTGCTGTCAAGTCGGCTACAACTCTTAGTGACACTATTGAATAACAGATTGGACCATACCCTATCCCCTGTCATCCTTACCATCTCTATAAATACTTGAGCCCATTGATAAAGTCACTATGTCAGTCCATCTCACTGAGGCCCCTCCTCTCCTTCACTGACCTTTTCAAGCACAGTGTCTTTTTCCAAGAACTGGCCTCTCTTGACAACTTGCCCAAAGTACTAAGTTGAGCATCTGACCTTTTGAAAATTTGGACTACTTGAGAACTAAGCTAATGGTAGTAACATTTGCTTTATCCACTCTGACCTACATGCAGAGCCAGAGCTCCCCTTATCCCAGTGTTCTTTCACAGATTTCTCTCAACCCAAACCCCTCTTCCATCCAGTGGATTCCAACTCAGTATGATCCTCTGTCCACTTTTCCTGAGGCTGTAAAGCTTTATTTACAGCTCAATCCTGATAAATGGCTAGTGGATCCCAATAGTCAATCTTTTGGTTTATCACTCCACATGTTGTGTACTGTGCCACTTGTTGCTCTCTGGTTCCTTGTTCACCTGATCCTACTTTGAATACTTAAGCTTTGGCTGACACAGCACTGTTTGCCAGAGAATTTGTGGCTATTTACACTGTTGTTGATGAAGATGATGTTATGTGCCACCAGTAGCCTACTATGTGTCATCATAGTGACCCTACGTACAGCAGCTCTGAAGCCTTCCCTGTCCTGAACCAGTCTCACTGACTCTGATAAACCTACACCCATTGCCTAAGTTACTGTATCAATCTATTTCATACAGGGACTTCTATCCTGCACTGTCCCTCCACCCTTCCAAGCATAATGTCCGTCTCCAAAGATCAGTCCCTCCTGACCACATGCCCAAAATTTGTGAGACAGAGCTTCAAATCTTAGTTTCCAAGGAGAAACTTTGTTTCACCTTCTCCAAGACAGACCTATTTGTTTTCTTGGCATTCCATGGTATGTTCAAGACTCTTCTCCAGCACAACCCAAAGGCATCAGTTCTTCTGTCATCCTTAGTACTAATCTGACTCTCTATTGCACAGCAAGTAATTACAAAGACCATGGCCTGGATTAGGCACACCTTAGTCCCTAGACTGATATTGTTGCTTCTCAGAGCTCTAGAAATGTCCCTGGCAGCAGATTTACCTAATGCAGTTTGTCTTTTGACTTCTTGACTGCTGATGCCAAAAGTGTTGTGGAGCCAAGCAAACTATAACTGTTAGCCTCAATCTCTTCTCCATCCTTCGTGGTGCTGCCAGTTGACCCAATGGTGAGAATCTTTGTCTTCTTGATGTTGGGCTTCGATCCATATTGAAACCTACAGTTCTTGACCTTCTGCAACAAGCACTTCAAGTTCTCTGCAGTTTCAGCAAGCAAAGTTACCTCATCTGCATAACATGGGTTGTTGATGAGTCTTCCTCCAATTCTGGTGCCACATTCCTCCTCATAAAGCCCAGCCTCCCAGATGATCTGTTCTGCATATAGATTGAAAAGGTATGGAGACAGGACTCACACTCCCTTCCAAACTTAGAACCATGCAGTATTTCCCTGTTCTGTTCTGAGGACTGCTTCCTGGTCTAAGTGTAGGTTTTGCATAAGAACAATCAAGTGTTCTGGAACTCCCATTCTCCTCACGGTTAACTATAATTTATTGTGATCTTCACAGTCAAATGCCTTTAGATAATCAATGAAATGCAGATAGATATCCCTCTACTTTCATTTCTGCCAAAATCCATCTGACATTGGTGATAATGTCTCTAGTGCCATGGCCTCTTCTAAATCCAGCTTCTTATATTTCTGGTAGTTCTCTGTCAATGTACAATTCTGGTTGTATCTGGATAATCTTCAGCAGTATTTTGCTTGCATGTGATATGAGTAATATAGTATGATTAAGGTAAACTTAATGATGCATATGAGAGGAACTGCAATTAGATAGGCTAATACATAGTTTTACAGTTGAGCAGTAGCTAGCCTTTAGTTACTTGATAGTGAGGCAAAAAATAAAATATCTGGGCTTTGAAGTTCTTATGACTTTTAAAAAGGGCACATACTTAGGGGGTTTTTTCCCTGATACTAAATTTTGATAAGGAATTTGTGACAGACTCTGTTGTGAAATTTCTGGTTTTCTGGTGTTTTTTTTTCTTGTGTGTTCCTTTTTATCTGTACGATTAAATGTTAGGTTTCTTTATGACAAATTTCACTTTTTGTACTGAATTTGTTCAGCTTTTTCCTAGAAAACTTGTACTTATTATTTATGATTCAAATGATAAATTAAGGAGCAAATACAACCTAACCACATTTCATACATTGTTACTGCTGCTTTTCAAAGACTTTAATCATTGAAAAACTGATTTAAATCTATCCTAGGAATTGATACTATATGTTTTCATGTTGCTCAGCAGAGAATCGCCTCTGGTGCCCTCAAAATAATCATAGCTTATTTCTCAGTGTGTATATATAAAATGTAAAAAATTTAAAAATTGTTTGAATTTTTTTTTAGGTAAAGGAAATATTTTTAAATACAATCAGTAGTTTTCAGGTACCTTTTCTTTTCTCTTAGGCCAAGTTATCAAGGCCTGGGACATTGGGGTGGCTACCATGAAGAAAGGAGAGATCTGTCACTTACTGTGTAAGCCTGAGTATGCGTATGGCTCAGCTGGCAGTGTTCCCAAAATTCCCTCAAATGCAACTCTCTTTTTTGAAGTAAGTATGTTCTGTGATGCTGCCTTGTCAGCATCTGCTTTACTCTAGCACTGGCTTTGAACAACAGTAAAAGAAGGAGCTAAGCTTGCTCTTAAGAATCGGATCCAACTTATTTATTTTGGAGCTCGGGTTCTTGAATTATTTCCCACAAACCCAAAGAGTGTGTGCCAGGGCTTTCTTAGAAACGTGTCTCTGGCATGAAGAGATCGTATCCAAATAAACAACCGACACCAGGCTTTGAAATAAAGGTCCTGGTGAATGGTGTACATGTGACATGCTCAAAACTGACCAGCAGTCTGCGTGAAAATATTGGAAATACTATTGAAATGTAACCAAACCAAGTTGTGAAGTGTTTTCATTTTATAAAGGTTTATAAATGTCACAGGTCTCACTTCTTGATTGAAAGTAGTAGATGATAATACCATGTTATCAATCCTGTGTTGAGTTATACTTATTTGGCAAAACCAGATTTTAAGAGTAAGAGAGAAAATGTTTGGCCTATCGTAACTAGATAAAATAAATTCGGCAAACCCAGATTTTAAAAGTAAGGGATAAAATGCTTAGTCCATCCTAACTAAATAAAATAAACTCTTAATTAATTGTAGATCTGATACAAAGGACATATTCTTACATTTTAAGAACAAAACTCCAAAAGTCTGGGGTAGAAAAGCAGTGGCCTGAGAGTCAGATAGAATTGTTCTGTGCCAGCACCTCGTAACTCTGGCCCTTTGCCCACTAGCAGTTTTCCTAGTATTTCCTGTCTGTCTTTACACTGCAGCCCCACAGGATATAGTCCTAGACATTATCGTCACATGAAGGTTCTTTCCAGGTATTGAAAAGTACAGTGTTCTTTTCCCCCCTACTTTTCCAATAACTAAGGTGCATAGATAAATATTTCTAATAGTCTTATTTTATAAAATGAAAGGAGACTAGTTTTGCTTTTTTTTTAACTTTTACCTTATTAAATTGGCTTTGTTTGGTTTTTTTCCTCAGCCAAATCTCCTTTTCCTTTCTAGATTGAACTTCTTGATTTCAAAGGAGAGGATTTATTTGAAGATGGAGGCATTATCCGTAGAATCAAACAGAAAGGAGAGGGATACTCAAACCCGAATGAAGGAGCAACAGTGGAAAGTAAGTCCTGCTGTGAGACATAACAAGTCCTTCAAACCTGATTTCCATTTATGTAGATGAAACCAATTTCTAAAAGGAAATATATTTATCATATGTAATTATGTAGAATATGTAGTATACAATTAAATATAATTACATATATTCGTATAATTACTCATAATAAAAAACCTAAAAGCTAACCTACTCAAGAATAGTTTGACATTAAATATTTCTTTAATAATTATTCCACTTAATAAATTTTCATTTTACATATATGTACCAGGCACTGTACCAGGTTCCACAAAGATAATCACATTCCTTAAGGAGCTCTCAGTCTGTTAACTGTTGGCTATATTAATAATTTTATTTTATACATTTACAATTTACATTTCATTTATTCAATTCCTTTTTCATAACCTTCTGGGGTTAGGTTTTTATCTCCGGGCTGTCTAGGGTTACAGAGGTGCTAAACAGATCAGGAGATTAAATAGCCTTCAAAACTCTCTAATCCATCTCACTACTGTCATCAGGATAATAAATAGTTTATTATGTGAGTTAGATGGAAATGATAGTGTTCATTCTGTTCTACATCAAGAAAGTAAGGACCTTTGTGAAGATTGAAACACCTTCCAAAAGCACTTTGCGTAGAGTACAGATAACACTGTTGTCTCTTTGCATCATGATCCATGTTTGCCTATTTTCCCCTGTGTAGTCATCTCATGTTTCCAGCACCAATGGCACTACCTAGCACATATTCTACAAGGGTTAAATTTTATGAAGTGCAGTTTCTGAGCAAAAGTCTTTCTAGAAAGACAGTTGGGAGAAAACAGAAAAACTGCCATTTAGAAAAAAGTCAAATCACTAAGTAAGGACAGGAGCATGAACTATTAAGATTTTTAAAATCTATTTAAAGTAAGGAAATTCTTAAAACCATAAACTATTTTCTCACTTTTAATGTATTTTTTCATTACCTTGGACTCATATTTCATATTTATGAGATGCTAACTTAATTCTCATGTATTTAATATGAGGACCTATAAACACTGTTACTGAAGTTGAGATAGTTAGATAATTGTTTGTGATTAGCTTTGAGATAAAGAAGAGCCCAGGAAGTTAATATGGGAAAAGTAGCTGCAGAAAATGTAGCTGCTAGGACATTGAGGTTCCAGGCTCAACCCTGGCCTCACTGCTTCTTAATTAGACCTCGCCTTTCTGAGTGTCCCTGGGAGGTACAAATGATGAAGCATGTGGCTTCTAATCAAAAGGTTGGGTTTTTAAACCCGTATAGAAGTACTGAAAATTCACAGCCATGAAAATCCTTCCAGGCTTCTACACATAGGTCAGCACAGTTAACTCAGTGACAACTGGTTGGGTTCTGTGTACTTTACTTTCCTTCACATTCTGTGAGCCAGTTGGGTCTCTTGATTTTTAAGTTCCTGTTAGACTTAAATATTCTATGACAAAGTTGTAAATGTTTATGAAAAGTATTCTTTCTTAATTAATGAGCACTTAAGCAGCTTGCCTACAAGTATTTTAAATTTTAATTATGAAAATTTTCAAATGTGTGTGAAAATAATGTTTTTCTCCAATGTAATAACCTCCCACCTCCAGATTCAATGGTTTAAAAAACATGTGTGTGTGTGTGTGTGTGTGTGTGTGTGTGTGTGTGTGTGTGTGTGTGTGTATTTAGACTGGAGGGTTTTGTCAAATTAAAAATGTTTTCCAATTATAGACATTATCATTAAACTATCACTGTAGAGGTAGTTTGACTTTGAATTGAAGCAAGCTAAATTAATATTTTTAGTGGAGTAATTTTTTTTTAATTTTTTGCCGTGAAATAATTTTAGACTTAACAGAAAGTTGCAAAATAAGTACTGAGTTCCCATATCCCCTTCACTTAGTTTCCCCTAATGTCATTATTTTTTCTAAACCATAGACATTTATCAAAACCAGGAAGTTAACATTGATACCCCACTATTAACTAGTCTGCAAATATTACTTGAATATCACTAATTGTCACACTAATGTCCATTTTCTGACCCAGGATGAAACTGAGGGTCTAATATGTTGATATGACATGTCTTGAAGACAGTAGGCTCGTTATTTTCTGTACTGGCCTTCACTAGGGGTTTGTCTCATATTTTTCCGTGATTATAGAGAAATTATGCAGTTTTAAAAAATACTGAAAGTATTTAGTATAAAAGTATTGTGTATTTCTTTCCCCGTTCATCATTATCAGGTGGTACATGATGTTGTCATCTCACTTGTAGTTAGCTGATGGTAATTTGGTCAAGAAGTGGGGTTTGCCAAGTTTCTCTAAAGTTGCTCTTTTCCTCTGTGTAGTCACTGAGTAGTTGGGAGAGTCTAGGAAACTATCTAAACATCCTGTTATACATTATACCTTCACACCATGATTTTAGCACCCACTAATGATTTTTGCATGTAGCATTTTTTGCTGTGGTATTTGCCTCATGGTAATTTTTCTATTTTTAGCAATCCTTTTTTTTTTCTTTTCTAAATTTTACTGTAAGGAACGCCTGTCCTTTCTCCCCTGCTTATTTATATCAATATGAACCCATGGGCATGTATTTTATTCTGTAGGTTAACAGTCATCCCTGTTCTTTTTCCTGTGTTGCTCGAATTGTCCTGGATCTGGCTACTGAAAGCTCCTTCAAGTTGGCATGTGTGTCCTTTCACCTGCTCCCATTATTTTTAGACTTTTCCTTACTTTCTGGCACCAAAGCTATTCCAGGATCAACTTGTAACTTTCTTACCCTCTCAAATTAGCCATTTATGCAAGGATCCCTGATTCCTTTAACAGCATTTAGACACTAACACCTGACTGTTAGATGTGCTCATGCTGTGGGATGTGTTTCATTGTTTCTAGTCTTTCTTAGTTGATAGATAGGAAATAAATGTAATTTAACATGCATATACATACACATCTATATAAATTTTTGTATTAACATAAGATATTTATGTTTTTTAAATATTTATATATTTTTAAAAATAAATAAATAGTCAAATGAATAATATACCCAGTTTCGGTCCAGCATCAAAAGTTTGCTCTAGATGTCTCTTTTTGTTCATTTGAAACTCCTTTCTCCAATAATGAAAAACTTGGTTTTGTTATCTGTGATTTTTCTTTCATTTGTTCAGTTCTATTGTCTACGTTAAGGAGCCCTGGTAATGCAATGGGTAAGCATGCAACAGCTAACCAAAAGGTGCTTGTTGAACCTACCAGCTGTTCTGCAGGAGAAAAATGTGCCTACCTATTTCTGTAAAGATTGCTATTATTATAGGTCATACACTTGAACCCATAACTTCCCCCCCACACACACACCCCGCCCCGCCACAGTGGGTTTTGTGAGTTTGTCTCATGAGAGATTTCACTGTCTTTCTCTCAGGGAGCAGTTGTTCGATTCAAACAGCCTTCCTTTGCATTAGTAGCACAACCACTTACGCACTAGGCCTTGGAAACCCTCAAGGGCAGTTCTACACTGTCCTGTGGAGTTACTACTGGTTGGAATCAACTCATTATCAATGGGTTTGTTGGGTTTATAAACTGGAAATTGACTCCATAACAAACGACGAATAGTATATACATAAAGCAGTGTTCAGAATTGCTAACTCATATGAAAAACAAATTTCCTAAGTAGGAACTCTACTCATTTTTTAAATTTTATTTTATTATTTTTTTGTGTGTACCATCAAATTGGATCTAACAGGAGGAGATTGGAACTCTTGTGTAGAGTTCTTTTTTTGTCATGAGCTTTGTAACATATAGTTAAAAATGTTTTCCAATTTAGGTTACATTATTCTTCTTCATTCCCTTCAGTGTGGTTACATTATTCATTTCTAATATAATGAGCTTCATTTATTTGCATACACTTTGAGTTCCACTCACACACTTATTGATTTTAATTACTTACTCCATGGGAACTCCAGAACCCTACTATTCTCATGCAAAACCTATACTTGCACCAGGAAGCAGTCATCAGAACAGAGCAATGAAACACTGCATAGTTCAAAATTGGGAAAGAAATTCCTTATGGATGTGTCTTAGATCCACACCTTTTCAGTCTGTTTATGGAACAGATCATTCAGGAGGCGGAATATGGCATCAGAATTGGAGGAAGATTCATCAAGAACCTGCATTATGCAAATGACACAACCTTGCTTGCTGAAACTGAGGAGGCCTGAAATGTTTGCTGAAAAAGGTCAAGGACTGCAGTCTTCAATATAATTGAAGCTCAACATCAGGAAGATAATGATTTTCACCACTGGGCCAATTGACAGCACCATGAGAGTTGGAGAGCAGATTGAGATTTTTAACAGTTTCAACTTACTTGGTACCACAGTCTGCACTCTTGGCACCAGCAGTCAAAAAATCAAAAGACAAATTGCATTGGGGAAATTTGCTGTCAGGGGCCTCGCCAGAGGGCTAAAAAGCAACGATGTCAATCTAGAGTCTAAGGTGCACCTGATCCAGGCCATGGTCTTTGCAATTACTTGCTGTGCATTAGAGAGGTGGACAGTGATTAAGGATGACAGAAGGATTGATAGCTTTGAGTTGTGATGCTGGAGAAGAGTGTTAAACATTCCATGGCAGTTGCCAAGGGAACAAGCAGGTTTGACCTGAAGAGAATGAAACCAAATTACACCTTAGAGTCAAAGATTTTGAAGCTCTGTCTCTTTGGGTATGTTGCCAGGAGGGACCAGTCCTTGGAGAAGGACTTCATTCTTGGAATAGTGGAGGGATAGCACAGGAGAAGAAGACCCAGGATGCGATGGATTGACACTGTAACTGGGGTAATGGAGGTAGATGTGTCAGAGACAGTGAAATTGGCTCTGGATAGGACAGGGTTCACAGATATTATGGATAGGGTTACTGTGAGTTGCAGATGACTCGATGCCACAACAGCAACAATAACTTGATTTTGGGATGTGTGAATCACTGCCATAATTCTTGACTATATAGAAGGGTTTATTGAGAAGTATTCCTCCCCCCACCCCGTCCC